TGCATCTTTAGATGTATCATCCATGCAAGTTTGGTCAACATGGGACTTATAGTTACTTGAAAATGAGATCTGCTCCAAAAACTTTAACCTGGTCACTCATCTGGAAAATGTAGGTCAGATCCAGCATCCGAAGCAAGTCCAGTAGTGTGCATCCTTAGGTGTATCATCCATGCAAGTCTGGTCAATATAGGGCTTAAAGTTACTTGGAAATGACATCTACTCCAAAAACTTTAACCTGGTCACTCATCTGGAAAATATAGGTCAGATCCAGCATCTGAAGCAAGTCCAGTAGTGTGCATCCTTGGATGTATCATCCATGCAAGTTTGATCAACATGGGGATTAAAGTTACTTGGAAGTGAGATCTGCTCCAAAAACATTAACTTGGTCACTCATCCGGAAAATATAGGTCAGATCCAACATTCGAAGGAAGTCAAGTAGTGTGCATCCTTAGATGTATCATCCATGCAAGTTTGGTTAACATGGGGCTTATAGTTACTTGAAAATGAGATCTGCTCTAAAAACATTAACTTGGTCACTCATCCGGAAAATGTAGGTCAGATCCAGCATCCGAAGCAAGTCCAGTAGTGTGCATCCTTAGGTGTATCATCCATGCAAGTTTGGTCAATATAGGGCTTATAGTTACTTGGAAATGAGATCTGCTTCAAAAACTTTAACCTGGTCACTTATCCATAAAATATAGGTCAGATACAGCATCCAAAGCAAGTCAAGTAGTGTGCATCCTTAGATGTATCATTCATGCAAGTTCAATCAACATGGGGCTTATAGTTACTTGAAAATGAGATCTGCTCCAAAAACTTTAACCTGGTCACTCATCCGGAAAATGTAGGTCAGATCCAGTATCCGAAGCAAGTTCAGTAATGTGCATCCTAAGATGTATCTTCCATGCAAGCTTGGTCAATATAGGGTCTATAGTTACTTGGAAATGAGACCTGCTCCAAAAACTTTAACTTGCTCCAAAAACATTAACCTGGTCATTCTTTAGCTGAAATTGCAGCATCTGAAACCTTGACTGGTACAATGAAACACACTTGAAGCATCCTCCATGCATCTCTGATTGATATAGGGCATAGAAGTACTTGAAAAAAAAAAAATGCTCCAAAAACTTTAACCTGGGACGCCGACGTTGAGGGTATTACATAAGCTCCCCAAACTTCGTTGAGGTGAGCTAAAAAATGAATCCCATAATATGGCATGCCTAAACAAAGAGTGTGCAAAACTTTCAATCATTTGAGTAGTTGCTGCGATGAAAATTTGTTACAGACAGACACACGGACACACAGACAGTTGCACACACAAGGGTAAAACAGTATACCCCCTCTCCTTTGGAGTGGAGGTATAAATATATAAATATGATGATCACATAGACCTATACATCATGAACAGCTAAATCATACATAAAACACCTTTTATATATTTTCCATTTTTGGCAAATGAAATTATTTTGTTTTAGAATGTTTGTTGTTCATGTACTTTATTTGATAAAGGCTTGTTTTAATGGTTACACTTACCATCAGTGACATCAAAGGATTTCAGATATAGATCATCCAGTCTTACCAAAGCTAGGGAATCCTACAATGGACAATAAGTATATACAGAATACAAGTACATTCACAAGGATTTTTATCCAATGGATACTAAGATTTATCAATGTTTTTAATATTAGTCATGGAGATACAGTGAAACTTGTCTAATCCGGATGTTGTGTATTTCAAAATCTTGTCTATTACGATGTAAATTTGAAGCCCCTATCAGTAATTTCAATTGTTTAAAATGTTGTCTAATTCGGTATGTTGTCTAATCTGGCCAATTTTTTTGGAACCAGTGGTGTACGGATTAGACAAGTTTTACTGTATATTGGATCATAGTTTGTTCAATAAACTCATCTAATAAAAGATATGAAGTTTTGTATAATCAACTACTACTAAAGAGCCAATGGAAAGCTTTTCTTTTAACTGTTTCGAGACTCAAAATTAAGTCTATTTTTATCTACATTTAAATTATTAATTTGACAAAAAATTCTCAGACAAGTTTGTAATAACCATATTTTTACCAATGCATTTTCATTAATGCTGTTTAAAAAAAATTTCTAAACTATACATGTATGAAGGCAACATTTCACAACTCTGAATTATTGTGCAAAGCAACACTTACATCAACATCAAAACCCAGTGTGAATGCACATACAAAATCTGCTGCTTTTTGTAAGGATCCAATGTCTTTTGTGTCTTTACAGGTCTGTAACCAGAATTACAATGCCCGGTATTAGGAATGAAAAACATAACTTAAAATGGAATGAAAGATGATCAATATTATTTATGGTCTGCTCTATAGAAAATGTTTATAAATGGAGAAAATTTGTATTGAAATTAACATATTGTTCAAAGAAATTTTGATGAACCCACATGAAAAAATTCTAAAATCCATTGTCCTCTGTGCATGCATAGCAGCTTGGTAGCTTAAGTAAAGCAATAACTTGCTTGAAAACATTTACAAAATTTTTTTTATTGTTTTTCTACCCCAAAATTAAGTATGTATCCTAAATAAACATGTCTTTGTATATGTCAGCCTCTTTTTGTCACTAAAAAAAAACATCTTGGGATTTCCTGATTTTGTTGCAATTGTTCAAGGACTATCAGAGAATCCCAAGGTACTGGGAGTTGACAAAGTTGGAGAAAATTTTAACTATTCAATTTTTGTGCGAAAAAATGATGTTTTGATCAAGACTCAATAAATGCAGGCAACATTAGTTTACTGAAAATTATGACGCCATTGTCATAGAAGCATGCGAAAGGAAATAGCAGATCCATAAGTTTAGAAGTGTACAACTTAATTATTAAATCCTGACAAAAAGGAAACTGTCCTCAATCATTCATTTATTCTCTCAAAAACCATACGAATGGTACAAGAGGTACATATATACATATTTACAATAATAATTATGGACGAGCAGAGATTACAGGAGGACAGACAGTGTCTGTGATGATAAATATACACAGTGATTACAGGAGGACAGACAGTGTCTGTGATGATACATGTAAATATACACAGTGATTACAGGAGGACAGACAGTGTCTGTGATGATAAATAAACACAATTTTCTTCAGAATACTGGATCAGTATTTGTCATCAAATTACAGAATTTTATAACATTTGAATGTACATAGTATTTCTTTAACAGAAAATCTTTTCGAATATTACATAATACATTTCTTTCAACATTATTCCATCTAGTACCCACCTCTATGGGAAGACTATGGTTACTTGTTCTGAATTTTGAAAAGATATTTCTAAATTTTTTTTTGTAAAATAGCTAAGTATTTTTCACATTCAAACTTTGTTTAAAAAATTCTATATGTAATACTTTTAATGGAATTATTATATCACTATACCATTTTTGTTAAAACTGATCTTTGAGCTTTTGGTTTATTGCAGTTGCAATCCATTTCACACTATGAAAATTTTGATCATTCCAAACAGTACAACATAGTCCTGCTGTGTTAAGAATATTCTGTATGCAAGATATCCATGGATTACTGATCCCATTTTTTGTATATTAAATTTATTATAAAGATGTAAATAAATAATTCTACAGATCTTATTCCCAATTCCATGTAACAGTTTTCCCCAGAAAGATATCATTCTTGTATAAATGCGTATACGTATATCAGGTAACGTCCAGTCTCCCCCTATACCATATAAAAACTTCAAGTTGGTGTACTAGATTTTAGGTTTAAAATATATTTTAAAAATCTTAAATGTAGACATTCCTCACCCTAAAGGTTTCATCATCGGATATATTAACTACAATTATCATTATTATGTAATTAAACATCTGTTGTATAAATTCAACGGTCTTGGGTTGGATACTTTTTGCACATTAAATCCCCTATTTACTATCACAGGCACCGCAAGTGTGCATAACCCCTCCCCCCCCCCTTTTGTAATGAAAAAATAGTAAGATGCTATAAATTCTCAAAAGTATTAGATTTCCTCTAGAATAGACCTCCTTTATCACTGTTAATGGATACACTGGCCAATCGCGCGATCTCTATACATGAGAAAAAGTACAATCTGTTCACATAGAAGGAAATATGGATGTGATTGATGGGAAAATCTCAAATTTTTGAGAAATAATATACTAGTACTTTTTTAACGGGGTGGTTTTTGGGTAGGGTGAGGGGATATCCATCCATACTTCAAGTGCCAGCTTTTACTATTATGAACACTCACCTTTATTTCAACATTATACACGTTTTGAAGTTAAATCTGACTTGGAGATTTAGTTTTTCCACTATTGGAGTAAATATTTTCATCCAGTTTTCTTTCAGAGGAGTATATCTATGACTGGGTACTGGAATTTTCCTAAATTCAGACTTTCCTCCCTGTTAATAAGTAAATAATTAACATATTATCAAGTATCAACCATTGTAATTATTTTTTTCATTTATGCATAACATTTCACTTAAGAAAACTTGAACAAACAAACAAAAATTCAAGCAATGTCTGAACATTTTATTACTGTCAATTTGTCATCACTTATTGGAGGAAAGTGTGGCTATTTTGGTGGGGCAGATTTGTCCATTGCTGACTCTGTTATCTCTGCCTCAGGTCTGAGTTTTCTTTTCCTTGATCTGACAAATTCCGTTTCACGAACATTTTGCCCACCACTGTCTTCTGTCTGTGTTGCCATTTTTCACGTGGTGGTGAAAGAGATCTTGATAAGGGAGATAATTAGTAAACAAACTTTCTTACTCAATGAAGTGACTTCAGTTTGCAGTTTGGTACGAGTTGACTCTTTGGATACGACTCGGTTTGGGTACGAGTCGGTTTGGGTACGAGTTGACTGTAAATCCTGCGAAGTAACGAGGAAATGCGGACGTTAATTGTGCGTAACGAAAACCATATCCCCTGTGTATATAAATATACATGTATTTGTATATAGAGGGGTAGGAATTTTATATCTAGGGCTTTATTTGCTGCTTATAGTATTGATCAGGTGCCACTTTTTACAGTTTTAGAAGCAGTTCATTTACAGTTATATTATATTTATAATTGAGGTAACGCCTCTTAAATAACAACAACAACAACCATAAAAGAAAAAAAAAAGGCACAAATGTGATAGTTGTAAAATTTTAAAATCATTGGCATAAATTGTACATCGGCATTTCATATGATCAGGGACCTATATACTTAGTATATAGGTCCCTGATATGATAGGCTTAAACTTATTAATTTTTATTTCTCGTGAATGGATTATAATTTGCAAGCAGACTCTGGGTTATTGACTGGGAACAGAACCCAAAAAACTTTAAAATTACAATACAACCTCACCCGAGCTGAAGGCTCTTATGAGCTTTTCCGATCAAAATTTGTCCATATCTGTTGTTGTTGTCCATGGTGTCAGGTAGTTACCTGCTCGAATTGCACATATGTTACTTACAAACCAGTGTGGTTTTTACATATATATTTATTCCTACAGGTCAGTACTGTAAACAGTATACGGTGAATAAATTAATTAATCTAAATAAATAAATAAATAAAACTTAGACTAACTACAAAGAAGACAACTACAACCCATGGTCAAACTTGTATGAAGAGTTTTGAAAGAACGACACACACAGAAGCTGGAACAGTCATGTAAATAATAAGATAATTAATTATGAGCTATCAAAGTTTTACATGGGAATACATAGTAAAAATCTTAAAAATTCTTCTTCTCAAAAACAGCCAAGCCATGATTAGACATATTTACACTATAAGTCATTTAGTACGAACACGGATATAGCTAATTCACGAATATAGCAAAGTTTTTCGGCATCCCCGGTGAAATTCTTAACAAATCCTAGGAAAACATTACAGTTATAACGAACTCTGATATAAGAAATTTACGGATATAGCAAACTGATTTTCTGTCCTGTAGAGGTTAAAAATAAGGAAAATTACATCTTTTATTGTGAATTTTCACTATCTTAAACTTCAAAATATTAATCTGACATTATTTTTTTATAAGCTAAGTATTTAGACTGTAAATTCCATTCATCTGAAATATTTAGTACCAAGTAAAATATTGTATAAACATATTTGGTAGTCATACTTGAAGGAAAAGATGCATATTGCGAATTCGTTATATATAACCTTTAACAAATTCGTTATATGGATATAACGAATTACGGATATAACTATAAGTAAATTCATAGGTCCTCAAGACTTTGCTATAACCGAGTTTTACTTATATGGAAGAATCCTTAAGTAGTTTAGATTCAAATGTGTTCAAATCATGACCCCCGGGTCTTGGGTGGAGTCACTATGAGTGATGAAAGTTTTACATGGGAATATATAGGTAAAAACTTTTGAAATCTTCTCAAGAGAAGCAAAGCCATGATTATCATATATGATATGGAAGCATCCCCAGGTACTGTAGATTCAAATTTGTTCCAATTATGATGACCGTTTGGATGGGTAGGATGGGGTCACAATATGTGATTTTAATTTGACATAGGAACTCTGCTGATGATGAACAGAAGGGCCATAGTGAAGCATGTGAGTGTTGTGGCCCATGGGCCTCTTGTTTGAATTGGTCTGGAAATGTTCATCTTGATGCCCCACATTTTAGGCATGTACTAGCCAGACCAAAAGACCTGTTTACATTTGCTAGTAAATTTCTTTTGACTTTCTGCTGATGATAGAGAAACTTTGTTGTGCTGAATGTTCTCAATTCAGACCCCACCCCCAGATTCATTGAACACACCAAGGTTCAAAGAATCATTAACACATCACTTTAATTTTTTCTATGTATTAGATGTGATGCTCATCATTCAGGATATAAAAGAAAATATATATATTTATCTGGCAGTTTTGCATAATTTGAAACCCAGAGTCTATTTTAACCTACCCGTAGTAAGTTTTTAAGACTTGATTTTTTTTTTTAACAGATGCTGCCATTAGGCTAATATGGAGGAATTCAGTAAGGATGGTCCCTCAGCAGCCAAAAAGACAAAAGTGACTACAGAGGATAGTGAAGTCAACAATGAAAATAGCCATGGAAGTGGAGGCTTTGCTCCAAGTGGTGAAGAAGAGACAAGCAATGAGTTATTTAACCAAGACACTGAACCTTATGACATAGAGAGCTGTGAATCTAATGAGAATTTATTTGGAGGAGGAGTATCGAGTCCAACTGTCAAAGATTCTGACAGCCCACTCAGAGAGGAAGCAGGAACACCTGTGGTGGAGATAGAGGAAAAGCAAAAGTCTTTTCCTTCAAAGATGAAGACTATTGAGTCTGTCTTGCAGGATGCCAAGTTAATAACAAATATTGTGGAGGGTATTGATGTTGATGCTGTGTATGAAAAACTCAAAACCAGACGAGGAAAACCAAACAGAGTGGACTTGGTTATAAATGAAATTTTGGAGAACATTGAAAAGGTTAAGAAGGAGGGCAGTAAAGGCAATTCAAAGGAAAACACAGCAATTGTGGAGGATCTGGTGAAAGTGATTGACAAAGCCACAGCCAATATTTCAAGACTGCCCATCACAGCAGGGGAAATCCAGCAACTTTTGACTCAGCATCAGGACAGACCAGATAGAGTGGATTATGTTGTGAGCCAGGTATTGGTAAAACATTATAAACCATTACCCAATCAAAAACAGGAATATGTGGATGACATGATGAAAGTATTGTCAGATTTACCTAATGCCGACCCAGAGCATGTGTACAAACTTGTAGAGAAACATGGTCAGGAGACAGACCGAGTTCAAAAGGTTATTGATTATCTTCAGAAACAAAAAGACCCACAACATTCTTTGCAAAAAGAAGCATCTCTCCCAACAGATCCTAAATACCTTGAGGACCCTCTGTACAGAGATATGAGGATTGTGTGTAAAGTGCTGCCTGATAAAGAAGCAAATGAAGTCTATGAATACTTGACAGCTCATCATGACAAGAAGGATCGTCTCAAAGTGGTAATAGAGGAGCTCATGAAATCTGGACATTGTGACTCTCAGAGTTTTCCTCCCAGTGTGGACCAACATTCAGCAGCTTTTTCAGATGTTATGGGTGTTGGAAGTAATGGAACTTTGCCTAAAAACATTCAAGAAGAGGTAGATGAACTGATGGAAATATTTCCAGATTGTGATCCAAATTATCTCTATGATGAACTTGAGGAACACTCAGATGACAAAGAAAGACTTAAAAATATTGCCATGAAAATGTTTGAGCACAAAAAGTACCCAAGATTGAAAGATACATTAGAGGAAAGAAAAAGGCGGGCTGAACACAACAAAATTCAACATCTTCAGTTTGAAATGGAATCATTTCTTGTAAGATTTCCTGACCCTTTGGGGACATTTTTAAATGTGGAACAAGATATGTCTAGTTCTTACAGGGAGCATGCACTGCAGCAGCTCAGGAGAGATTTTAGGCAGCTCAAAAAATCATTTATCTTGAAAGCTCTTGAAAAATACAATTATCATTATCATTTGACGAAAAAAGAGATTGAGAAGGAATTAGAAAACACTCCTGGTACGTACTTATGCAATTTAATTTCATCTCACAGTAAGGCATGGATATTTTTTCCATTTTTTGTTTCATGTCAAAACTATTACCTTGACAAATTTTTATTTTAAAAAAGTGGTAAATAAAAATTACAGCATATGACTTCACTTTGATAATTAAAAAATGTTCATTTATTTATTACAGAATGACTCCAGGTGTAATGCTAATAAATGAATTTAGATTGATTTCTTCTACAGTCAGGTCTAAGAAGTTTCGTAGAGAGCCCCTGCAAGAGGAAGATTGTAGGATGCCGGAGCAACCAGAGGAGTTCTTTTATTATGAGAAATTGTTCTCCGAGAATGAAGAGGAAATCAAAAGTAACCAATAACTGCCTACTATACTATGCCTTTAAGGGTTTTTATCAAGTATCTAAATTTTTTAAAAACAAAACACTATTATATTCTTGAAACATATAATTATCGTTTAATTATGAAATAACTTTGAAAACAGTCATAATTAGGGGATAAAATGCCTGTAATATAGAGTTCTCGAAGTAAAAATCTCCACTAATTAGATAGGGGTCACGTGGTACTGAATCGTCATAGGTGTCTATGGTCAATTAGAACTCGTAAAGCTTATCATAAGAAAAATGTTATCAAATAGATTTTGACGTTAAATATTATACACTACACAGTAAGGTCGGTGGAAATTTTGACATCGACGATATTCTGTTAGTTATAGACGGCCAATCTTTTATGTATGAACGTCTAGCAGAGAGAAATAACCAAGAAAATATCCCGACAATAGGAGAGGACACCGAAGACGAAGCCGTTGACAACTTCGGACTTCCGACTAAATAGAATGAATAACTAAAGTTGGACTTCGTATATATTAATTTTATAAATATGAGAATTTTAAATTCAACTTCTTCATTATTTTAATAAACTGTATATAAATATTCTATCTGTTCCAGTGAATATCATGTATTAGAAATGACATTCTTCAACACTGTTCAATGGCGCCGTACGCCATTATGAAGTTCACAGCATTCCTACTAGCATGTACCAGATATCATTCTGTGCGACTTTAAAAATGCGTGTTGGGTACTTTTTCCGTTTTAAAAAGGTATCATGTCCTTAAAATATTTTATAGTACAGAAAAAAATCGTGATCGGGCCTAAACGATTGTTTTGAATGGAGAGAAAGCTCTCACGTTTTCAGAAAAATGGCCCCCTTTCACTTCTCAACCAAGTCCAGGAAATGTGGGGAAAAAAGTCTTCCTAAAACCTTTCTTGTGCGCATTTGTGCATCCTAAAGCCACAGATTATACCTTACTAGCTGTCAATTATCCAATTACCACTTATTTATTTACTAACAGGTTTAATAGACACAACAAATGAGCCGTTTTGTATACACAATAAGTACTTTTCTTGATTAGGATTGACACCTATGACGTCAGAGCAATGGTTCATAGCATCAGCGATCAAAATATGCATATTGAGAAATTCAAACTTTGAATCGCTGAAACATCAACAATGTTAATTTTCTAGCAAAGTTTTTTAGATATATGATTTTAATAACATGTAAACTTTGTCATATCAAAAAATTTTGGGACGTGATAAAAACCCTTTAATTTCTTGCTCTACTAATCATATGCATTGATAAGGTGCCATTAACCATCTTTCTGTCTGAAAAGAAAGTTTTTCAAAATGATATAGTTTAATATAAACTTTTGATCTGATTTCAGTAAAACTTCATACCCAAGTTAATTACTTGAAGATACGTAATTCTTTACATCATTTTTTTTTGTCAGTAAATGGTGTTTCCATACTTACTAAAATTAGAAATTTAAGAGAAATTCTTTCACATTGCTACTTCTTTAGTCTGGTCCAATTTCAATAAAACTTCATACACAAACTGTATCAAAGCTTGTAGTTCTACTCATTGGTTTGATATTTTGATGAATGGTGTTGCCATTATTACCATAAAAAGAAAATATTTCAAAATGCTATCCGTCATACACATTTGGTTTGATTTCCATAAATCTTGGTTCAAGTTATAAAAAAAAACGAGATATATACGAGGGATAGTCAAAAACTTCATGGACTGGCCCAGTAAAATTCTCATTATGTATTCAATTTTCATGATTTTTGTTACGACAATATATACACATGCGTTTGACAAGCATGCAGAATTTTATTGTCATATACATGTACCAATGAACTCAATCAAAATCAAAGGCATCACAATCTGGACAGTCCGCTGGACAATTTTCAACGTTAGTACACATTCTTTTTTAAAAATATTCCCTATTTTCTTGGATACAACTCTGGTGTTGGTTCACTCAAATACTAATACAGATTTAAAACATTCCGGATCATAGAATGAAATGATATCTTTTACTGCTGATCTAAGTTCACTAAGATTGCTTTAAACTTCATTGAAATTTTCTTTTCGTCTGGGGAAAAGGGCAAAATTGCAAGGTATAGGGATCTTCTCCTTCACAAGACAGACAATACTTTTTGCACTCACAACTTTCTGGCATCCCATGCATGGATCAATTTTACTGTTCACCCATCCATCGCTGAACAGCTAGTGTCACCAAAATACTATAGATTTGGACACAGTTTTTTTTCCTTTGCTGGATTTGACACATTTAACATTTCCATTTGCGATTTCCCAATATGAAACTATATAATAATTTTGGAATACACTTGCTTCTCTGGCATCATTTTTCATAGATCAGCGCATTTCAAACATTACCAAAAGAAATTACTGTAAACACTTTTGATTTGCGAGAACTTTATTTTCCCGAAATTACGTGAGTGCATCTGCTCATGGAAATTTCAGTCTTGTGTATAATTCTATCATTAAAAAATGTATAGAGCAATAACCAAAATTCGTGAAAATTTTGTTTCACTTATAAATACCAAACAACCTCTCGCAAAAATAAGGTGTCACAAAAATTTAGTGATCTACATTACCATGATATCGTTAAAAATGTTCAAAATTCCTTCAAATCTTAAAACAGTTTTGTGCAGTTATTAGAATCTTTCTTAATTAAAGATTTTTAAAGATTTTTTTTTTTTTTTTTTTTTTTCAAATTACTTCAATTTACCTAACATAATTTGAGGTTGTGCCAAGTACACAAAACACGGGTATTTAAATAGTTATTATATTTATTATCAAGTATCAAACTATATGTAGTTAATAACTGACAGTTATGTGTATAATGGTCTACTCTTATTATAAAGCATGCAAAATTTGAAATATCTATCTCACATAATATCAATTTTATTGCGCCAGTCCAGAAACTTTTTAATCACCCCTTGTAATTCTGTCAATTCTGTCAAATGTTTCAAGTCCAGATGCAAGTTTTTTCTTACACTTATGGTAGTTTAAATCAGTAGGGCTACAGTCTCATCAGAGGCCTCTGGTTTTTAAGTGGCTTTAAAGTACATGTACAGTAGACAGGTCCAGCACAATACCCTGATAAAGGAATATAGCTTGATAAAGCTATATAGCTTTATCAAGGTATTACAAATACCTTGATCGAGGTATTTTATGTAATGAAAATACAAAAAAAAATTCTTTAAAAAATAAATTTAAAAGTCGAATTATGAGTTGTGGTCAGTGTGTTCACTCGTGCATGAAAAGTACACAGGTATCAAAAAGAAAGCATAAAAGAAGGTCTCCTCACAGGACATGCTTTTATACTGATTTCTTTGTGTTTGAGTACTTTACATGCATGAGTGAATTTACTGACAACTCAGAACTTGACTTTCATTATTTATTTTTTTAGGATTTTTTTTTTTGTATTTTCATTACATAAAATACCTTGATCAAGGTATTTGTAATACCTTGATAAAGCTATATAGCTTTATCAGGGTATTGTGCTGGACCTGGTAGATATTCAGTCTTTGTGAAAAACACAATCCTTATGCTCCAGGATGGTAAAACTGCTGTCTGGCACATGAAAAGTTAACCACAACCCTATTTATCTGAAAAAAAATTTGCTTCTAGACTATATATACTCCGGTATATATGAATCAATTTCAGGGCAGGTTAGAGTGCATAAAAAATACAAAAGAAGCAATGTTGGCAGAATTTGTTTCAAATGTAATTCAACTTTCTACAGGTACTCAGATAACTATCATGACTATAATCCACTTTCATACTGTGATATGTAAAAAAGAGTTGGGATAATTAAAGTGTTGGTGGGTTTTGTAGATTCTTTAAACCACAAGCCTGAAAGGTTTATGGTTAATTAAAGTTCTCAGCACTTGCTTGATGTTGATTTGATATTTTAAAGGAACATTTACTTAGCAAAGAAACTGACATTGTGTGGCATATGTACATTGTAACATGTATCACATATGGTAAATTCTGTAATTTTGTTGAAAGTTGGGAAATAATAATTATGGTCCCTAGATTGAACATTGGTTCACATTGCTTTTGTCTAGCTCTATTGGCTATTTATCAGCATCTTTGGCCTTTTTGCCACATAAAATTTATTTTTTGTGAAGGAAATGTGTATGCTCCTTCAGAAATATTATATTTCACCATCTAAATCATACGTTTAATATTAATATGTATTTTAGGATATCTCCATGACAAGGAGCAAGTATATGAGCTCCGTCTTCAGGAAGCTAGGGACAATGGAGAACTGATGGAATGTCAGTGCTGTTTTGATGAGGAGTGTCTGTTTGAAGATATGGCTGCCTGTCCTGATGGCCATCTTTTCTGTAAAACTTGTATCCGCAGATCAGCTGAGGTGGTAATTGGTCAAGGAAAGACTGATTTCAAGTGTCTGACTGGGACATGTTCCGATAATTTCTCACTAGCCACCCTACAGCATATTCTGCCTACCAGTGTGTTCTCCATTGTTCTGAGGAAAATGCAGGAAGAAGAAATAAAGAAGGCAGAAATCCCAGATTTGGTCTCTTGTCCTTTTTGCAGTTTTGCAACCATTATGCCTGATCAAAATGATAAAGTGTTCAAGTGCCTAAATCCTGAGTGTCTAAAAGAGTCTTGCAGGTAAAATCAAATTTTTGTGTCAATTTATTTTTGCAGAAAATGGTCTTAATTTTCTAGTAATGAAAAAAATTAAGTCGATGATTTTTTTCTTTTGGTAAATATCAAGGTTATGTAATGAACCAAACCATATTCCTTTACGCTGTAATGAGGTGGAGAAGCAGGGAGAAATGAACATGAGAACTTACATTGAGGCTCGCCTGACGGAGGCCATGATCCGACGCTGTCATGTCTGTCAAAAAGCATTTGTTAAGGAGTTTGGCTGCAACAAGATGACATGTACCTGTGGGGCCACCAGTTGTTATGTGTGCAGGGCTAAAGACATCGACTATGACCACTTTACAAAGGAAGAGTAAGTGCATTTATATTTTCATAATTAATTTGACAACAGATTTTGTTTTCGTAAAAGACAGCATTCTGTGATAGTATTTAGATTTAATGATATTATATAAATTTGATGGATTGATAAGAATTTAGGAATTAATTTGTCTGTCTGTCCATCCTGTCTGTCTGTCTGACCATGTATTCATAATTTTCATACTTGACAGTTGACACAGATTGATTTTGACCTGAAGGAGTGTCATGGCCTTGAAAAGGACATAAGAATAAGTTCAAGGTCACTCCTACCATAGCAATATCTTGTAGTGGAAAAACATTGGAAGCTCATAGGAACAAAGAGATTTCCTATCTGATAATCACCTAAAGGTGTGCTGTGAACTTAATTCAAGATCATTTGGATAAGTTCAAGGTCACAATAAGAGAATGTGTAATTTCTGTCTGAGTAATATCTTTGTCTAGGAGCCAGTAATGAGGAAAAGATGGCTTATAACTTAAAGATAAGTCAAGACTTTGAGCCAAGGTCATTTTAATAGCGTGTGCATTCAATATGGTTAAAAGTGATAGACAGATTGTTTTACCTAATATTATGCAGAGATATGGGCACTGTCAGTCCAATAGCTTGTCGGTCCGAAATTCAAAAAAATTTTGACCAGCAGTCAATAGATCACTATGAAGTTTCTTAAATAGTTCAGACGAATGAATATACAGACAAAATAATCAAAAATACTACATATTTAAACAGCTAATAAAATGTTCCAGTATTCCTGTGTACTTATAAAGTCCACAAAAACTAACACCCCCACCCCCATATTTAAGATTTCATGGCACTGGTAGTTGAAACCAAAACAAGTCTTTCTTATTTAAGATGTAACCAGGGTGACATGAACAAGCTTCATAGAGAGGAGATGTTAAAAGCAGCAACAGAGGCTAGAGACAAATATATCCAGGATCACCCCGAGGCTGCTGATATCGATCTGAAATATGATCCCTTAAAACACATAGAGGAGTGTACGTGTATATCTTTATTTGTTCTTCAACTTTGAATGCACTAAATCAGACAAGTCAGAAATAATGAGGGGTAGTTTACATTGTTAATTCACTCTGCGATTTTCATATGAATTCAAGTTTAATTTTTTTTCGTATAAAAGTAAGAAAGTAAAGAAATGAATGCTAATAGATATAGAACATTGATAAGAAAATTAAAGTTTAAAATGATCCAGTCATTTTGTGTATTTGTATCCCTGGATTTTTTTTTCAGTTGAAGGTTTGAAGGAAGGTGAATATGATGGTGATGAAGATGAAGAATATGATGAAGAGGATTAAAATTTTTGTAAAATGTGCCATTTTTTTAATGTTTGAAATGTAGAAATTTCATATCAACATTTATCGTTTGAAGAGTGGGAGCGAATACCGGTGCATATGTGCTTTATTTCTAGATAGAAAAATTTTATATGGACATACATGTACATGTAGATGCAAGGATCATTTTGTACCACCTGAGTGATGCAGTTGACCACTGGCAACCTGTTTCTTTCCATTTTAGCATGTTTTCAATCTTTTTTTTTTTTATCTTTAGCTTTGTTCCTGAAAACACTGTATTAATCTGTTTTAACTGTCTTCAAATACAGATATGTAATATGAATCTTTCTCTTTTTGTTTGTTATATTGAAATTGTCTAATTATTAAAACATATTAATTCTAAAAGAAAAAATTGAACTAGGAGTATGTCCCCAACAAAAATTTAGCATGCTTTATTTAGTAACTGTAAATCTGACGGTCAACATTTCGATTGACCCACACAACAAAAAAACAATGACATTGTTTTACCATGTCGTAGGAAAACGTGTACAGGTAATACAGGTAACATCCTGTGTATATAGGTTGGTATACACAAGCCAGCGTGGTTCCCTCGGGGCTTCACAGCCGTTTCGATTAAGCTCCACCCCACACTGAACTTACCTGAGGAAAACCAACCGGTTGAAAACCTCGGCCTTTAAGAATATTTAACCATTTTGTATACTCCCTATGTCCAGCTGAAGGCTCCAAACTTAAAATTAGCACCCATGTCTATTGAGTAGGCCCTGTGGTTTAGGTGGGACGACAATAAAGGATCAAATATTCACATCAAATTAATATTTTTAAAAGATATTAAATATCCACTACATGTAATGAAAAACAGCAGTGCAACCGTAGTTATAATATGCAAGCATCCTAATATAGTGACCCACCTCTACACTTTAAAAAATGATGCTATGTGTATATATATATATGAATGTAAAGACTTATAAACATAAGCTTGATTTTTTAGAAGTGTTATTGTTTACCTAATGAATAGAGTTTTAAGATTTTAGCTCACCTGAGCCAAGGACCCAAATTAACCTTTCTGATTGAAATTTTCTGTTGTTTGTCATTGGTGTCATAAACTTTTCAAAATTTTAGAACCAGTCGGATCAACATCAAAGAAAGTTACCACAAAGGTTCTTTGGGTAAGGGGAATTCATTTTTTAGCTCACCTGAGCTGAAAGCTCAAGTGAGCTTTTCTGATCACCTGTTGTCTGTCCGTCAGTAAACTTTTCACATTTTCATCTTCTTCTCAAGAACCACTGGGCTAATTATAACAAAAGTTGATACAAAGCATTCTTGGGTGAAGGGGAATTTAAATTGTTGAAATGAAGGGCCAAGCAGCCTTCCAAGGGGAGATAATCAGGAAAAGAGAAAAATAGGGTGGGGTCATTAAAAAATCTTCTTTTCAATAACCAATGGGCCAGAAAAGCTGAAACTTATGTGTAAGCATCCTGGGATAGTGTAGATTCTAAATTGTTCAAATCAAGGACCCCTGGGGTAGTTTGGGGCCACAATGATTATTATAAGGAGAAATCTGGTGAACAGCAGGGCCAAAGTTACTCAAGTGAGCATTGTGGCCCATGGGTCTCATGTTCTGTTAACCATGCCCTCTTTCAAGGGCAAATACAGGTTAACTTCGATATCTTGAACACTGATACCTCAAATATCATGGATATGTCATTTGAGTCAGTTGGGAATCCCCAGCACTTTTTCTTTAAGTTTTTTAAACCTTGATATCTCAAATCTCAAACTTTTTTCTAGGTTCCATTGAGATTAAAATACCAAGGTTTGACTGTAATTAAGAAAAAAATTATAGCATCATTTAAGACCCATTAGACCAGAAAAATCAAAACTTAATGAATGCTCTTATGTATAGTCTTCAATGGGGGCTGTGATAGGGGGACAAAATTTTACATTGAATATGTTGAAAATACCTTTAAACATCTCAGGTATAGCAGGGCCAAAATTAATCATATTGATATGCTTGTACTTTTGATTCAGCTTGGGGTATGAGAGGGGTCACAACAGGGTATGAAAGTTTTAGATTTGAATGCATAGGAATAAATTTTATAAAATTATCTTCCCAGGAACAACAGAGCATTAGATAGTGCAGAAATTGTGGCACCTAAGGTAAGGAAGGGGCCACAACAGAGGATCAAAGTATATATGAACAAGATGTGTTTGTGAAACACTGATGCCCCCGTATGGCAGCTTATGTCGAAGGTTAAAGTTTCTCAAATGCAAGTCAAAATCCAGGCCAAAAGATAAAAAATGTTGATACCCAAAGAAAGATCTTGTCTCGAGGAAAACACCTGTGGAATTTGAAAGACCTAGATACAACTGTTCAAAAGTTATGGTGAAGGTTAAAGTTTTTAAGTTAAAAGTCAAACGTCAAGGTCAAGGTCAAATTGGTTGGTATCCAAAGGAAGATCTCGTCACAAGGATTACATATGTGAAGTATGAAAGCCCTAGCACCAACCATTCAAAAGTTATGGCCAAGGTTAAAGTTTTTCAAAAGTAGGTCAAACTCCTAGGTCAAGGTCAAAAGGTCAAAGTCGTTGGTATTCAAAGGAAGGTCTTGTCACAAGGATTACATGTGTGAAGTATGAAAGCCCTAGCTCCAACCATTCAAAAGTTATGGCCAAGGTTAAAGTTTTTCAAAAGTAGGTCAAACTCCTAGGTCAAGGTCAAAAGGGTCAAAGTGGTTGATATCCAGAGGAAGGTCTTGTCACAAGGAATACACATGTGAAGTTTGAAACCCTAAGCACCAACTGTTCAAAAGTTATGGCCAAGGTTAAAGTTTTTCAAAAGTAGGTCAAAGTCCAAGGTCAAAAGGTCAAAGTGGTTGGTATCCAAAAGAAGGCCTTGTCACAAAGAATACACATGTGAAGTTTGAAACCCCAAGCTCCAACTGTTCAGAAGTTATGGCCAAGGTTAAAGTCTCATAAAATTTTGCAAAAGTGGGTCAAACCCCAAGGTCAAGGTCAAATATGATGGTACCCAAAGAAAGGTCTTGTCACAAGGAATACACATGTGAAATATGAAAGTCATAGCTCCAACCAATCAAAAGTTATGGGCAAGGTTAAAGTTGACAACAGACAAACAGACAGACAGGACAAAAACAATATACCCCCGGGATCTTTCGATCCGGGGGCATAAAAAGTATAAACTGGTATAGAAGCTTTTTTGATAAATATGTAAGATGCCACAGACTGCACATGGTCTTTTCTTCGGATATAAGGGAAAAAATAGATGCTGCGTGAATTAGACACTAAGATAAGTAGGAATGACTGAAGCATACGTGACAGAGGTAGTTCCGGAGGTTAGAACAACCTAGAATTTTTAAAAGTCATTGGAACCTAGACCTAAAACATAGTTTAGCTTTTCTCGTGCATTTCTGTAAAAAAAAAAAATTAACGTAATTAGTCCCAACTATTATACACCTGTGGTACAGTGCGGACTCGTTATTACGGTGACGGTTTTATAAGATAGAACGCTTATTACATTGTAAATTCAAAGCACAAATCCATTTTTTAACAAATCTATACAAAATAGAACTGTTTATTACGATGTCCTAAAATGCCGGGACTCGGTATTACGATGTAAAAATTCTGTCCAATTTTTTTTTTCCACCCCGTGTTTATTCAGTGTTGATCAAGATAAGTTATTAATAAATTATATGTATATAGCGTTTTAATGAAGAATTTGAACAGAAGAAGGAAACAAAAGGAGAAAAATACACCTCCTAATACAACAACAAGCTTTCAAAACGATGTTTTACTGGATTTTATTGGGAACTTTTATTACGTTGCCCTCGGTATTACGATATTTTACCGTGACAAAATGAACATCGTAATAACGAGTCCGCACTGTAGTCATAATGGAAAGATTGATAGAATTATTGGGTCTTACATTGTGAAAATGCTTATTTGATTAAAGGAACGGAGAAAAGCTCTTATTTAGAGAAATATCATGTGACCATATGTATACATTTTTTCGTATATGTAAGTAACAAAAATTTATAACAAGAAAATTATCTCGTAATTATGCTATCTTTTCTCGTAATTACGATAGACTAACAAGAAAGTTTTCCAACGGTCATTAAGGCTGTGTATCGTGAGGGGAAAAAGTATCACGATATTTCAGAAAATATCGCAATATGTCGTGATATATCAAGTTTTTTAGCTCATCTCGACAAAGTCTAGATGAGCTTATGCTATACCCCCGGCGTTAGCGTTGGCGTTGGCGTCCCTGTTAAAGTTTTAGGAGCAAATCTAATTCCAAGTAACTATAAGTCCTACCTGGACCAAACTTGCATGGATGATGCATCTAGGGATGGACACTACCAGACTTGCTTCGGATGCTGGATCTGACCTACATTTTCCAGATGAGTGATCAGGTTAAAGTTTTTGGAGCAGGTCCATTCCCAAGTAACTATAAGCCCTACCTGGACCAAACTTGCATGGATGATGCATCTAGGGATGGACACTACCAGATTTGCTTCAGATGCTGGATCTGACCTACATTTTCCAGATGAGTGACCAGGTTAAAGTTTTTGGAGCTGGTCCATTCCCAAGTAACTATAAGCCCTACCTGAACCAAACTTGCATGGATGATGCATCTAGAGATAGACACTACCAGACTTGCTACGGATGCTGGATCTGACCTACATTTTCCAGATGAGTGACCAGGTTAAAGTTTTTGGAGCAGGTCCATTCCCAAGTAACTATAAGCCCTACCTGGACCAAGCTTGCATGGATGATGTATCTAAGGATGGGCACTACCAGATTTGCTTCGGATGCTGAATCTGACATATATTTTCCAAATGAGTAACCATGACAATGTGTTTGGAGTAGCTCTATAATTATTTATATGGCCTGTTATGATTTAACTTGCATAGATGGTGCATTGCAGACTTGCTTCGGATGTGGGAAATGAAAGACATTTTCTTGATTAGTGAACAGGTTAAAGTTTTTGGAACAGGTCAATTCCCAACGAACTATAAGACCTACTTACACAGAACTTGCATGAATATTGTTTTCAGGATGCACACTAACTATAAAGAAAATATGATGTGAGATTTGCATTACTTTTACTGATAACATTCGTCGAGGTGGGCTTCTTAATCTTTGATTACTTATGTTTTAATTTAGGTATTTTCATACAAGTTTATTTCTTGGTTTTATAAAAGGAAATTTAGATATCAGCATTCCTTTTTTAAAAAAATTTAGTCTTTATTTTCTGGAACTAAGATTAAAGCAAGTTAGTTTTTAACTTTTTCTTCTTTTTTTTTAATTC